GAGTTTAGAATTGCAGGAGAGAGGAGAGAGTGAAGAATTGACAAACAACATGTAATAATAATAATAATAATAGCCTAATAGTCCACTCCAAATTTTATTAAACCAAAACGGAAATTCTTTTTGCCCAATTGATCGTGAGCCCGGCAGCCACTGAGCAGCGCCAGATCGACGTTGCTCTATCCCTTATTGTTGAACGCCAAACAAGGTAGCAACAACTCCCATCTTTTAACGTCTTTTGGTATGACGCGGCCGGGGTTCGAACCCACGACCTCCTGGTTGTGCAGTCCTCATCTTTCTCATATTACTGTGTCTCTCTCTCGCACTGTTCTGCCAATCTAGAATTGATAAACACTTTTATCTCCTACATGTACATGTCTATTTCCATCACAGTCACATCCTTAAAATAGACCTGCATCATGTCTGTCTAACCTTACCAGCCTGAGCATTTACACTGCAACCAAACACTCTGGGGTTTGCTATTTCTAACATTCCAGAGTTTGGCTGGAAGTTGCTAGGCAACTGCCCTTTAACATGACAAAAAAGTCAATTGAGAGACCAACTTCTGGAGTGTGGCCTTTTGAAACTCTTGGCAAAAACTCTATGGCCCGAATTCACAAAGCAAGGTTTGAGCTCAAACCTCCTTTTGTTTTGCCAAACCTCCTTTTGTTCTTTACAAACCAGGTTTGTAAAAAAACGCGTAAAACGCGTCATGACGTACAAAAACCAAGGTTTGTTGACAAACCTCCTTTGTGAATTCGGGCCTTTATGTTTTTTACTTACGTGTTAATCATCACTCTAAAATCGCTGGTGAATTATTCGAGTTTTTGACCACTTTGCAATCCTCACTTCTTTCTGTGCATTGTTGCAGGCGCACTGATATGCCGTACATGTATGCACACTAAATGTACATGCACAATACACTGTATGTACTCCCCAAACCACCAGAATGATTTGATGGCAAGCATACACCAAAATTCTGGATTTAGCTCAGGCTTCAATCATAATTATAAACATTTAGGCCAGTCAGGAATCCCATGACTCTTACAAGCCGATCACCTGCCTGATTATCAAGATAATTATGAATCAAAATCAAAATCAAATTTTGTGTTTTCCTAACGGTTAACATAACACTACAGTCTATTGGGGAAATGAGTATGGTAAAACTGATCACTCAAAGATTTTTACTTTTCTTAGGCACTTCATGATCATTTTGAAGCACAATTTTTTTAGGGCTTCAATATTACATCAACTCATAGACACGGATAGTACGTAGGGCCGTGCATCTCAGATTTAACATTGTTATACGATGCTTTTAAATCAGGCTGTGTCTTTTTGCAGTGTGAATGGGGCTACGGATGCACTTTCCCTTCAAGCACTTCTATCCCATGGGAACTGATTTGTAACATGATGGTCTTAACAAGCCCCAAGGGTACATCAAATTAGATACATTGGACATAATGTAATATGGGAGAATAAAGATGTGCGCTTCCAGTATACATTTACATGTTCATGTAGAAAGTTATGCAGCATATCACGAATATAGAATCAAGAAAAATGTGCCCCAGCAGCCTCACCATCCATAGTGCATTAATTAATGTAAAGAATAAGGCTTGTTCTCTTGCTTGTGATGATGAAAAATTCGATTAAGACATTTTTTTTTAATTGAAAAAAACATTAAAAAGGTTATGTCCGCAAACTACATGTACATGTACATGTAGGAGGAATATATAGAGCCAACCAGTATACATGTAAGGGTCTTCAAGAGTTAAAATTACAAAATCACTCAAACAGTTTCCATGTACATGTACATTGTACATGTAGGTATAGTGTGTAACAAACAAGTTTTCATTTTGTATCAGACTGTATTTTTGGCACTAAAATAATGTTAAATTGTTTAGAACAAATTTTATTTTAGATTTTTATTCAGATTTTCACTTTTTGAAATATTCATTGTCATGGCCAGAATGATAATTTCACAAATAGAAGGGTTTGTCACCCCCCCCCCAAAAAAAAACAAAAAAACAACAACAACAACGACAACAACAACAACAACCATACAAAATGGTTTTACCACATTCTCATCAAAATTTACAAGAAATTAAACCTTTCAACTTGAATAACTCAAAATTGCTTCACTCAACTTACATGTAGTTATAATTATCCTAAAAGTGCAAATCTTCAGTATCATTTCTTTTTTCTGTCGTGATTTTGTCAACATCACTTTGGTGTGAAATATCTGTAATGAATGATTTCAAGGTTAAAAATGAATTGGTTTCTCAAAAGAAGACCAAAAACCAGATCCCAAAAGTGGTCATACAATGTCACCTCTCTAAAAACAAAGGAGCATAAGGAAAGTAAATTTTGGTATTATAGAAAGTCACATCCTTGTGTGGAATTCCCCAAAATAGTGTACAAGTCTGAACCTTGTATGGATATGACTGACGGAAGTCTATACATGTCCTTCCCAAGTTATCCAGAAAAGTTCATAACCCATTAAATGAGAAGAGACAATGTCATTTCTGTTTTAACTGCTAAGATTACTGTCAACTCTACAAGTCTTATCCCAATCATCTAGATAGCAATAGTCTTGGCCCATTCAGAAGTAAGCTGAAGAAAAACAAAACGCTAAAAAATGACCATGATACAGTGTAGAGCACTTAATTCTTCAAGTACTGTATGTATCTTCAAGTGATAGGCTGTGTACAGTAGGCAGATAGTACTGTAGGGGGCAACTACTACAGAACAGCCACATGGGTTTCCCCCTTTTTTTTAAGAACTCCAATACAATACACAGCCATACAAATCCAGATTCCATGAGAAATCACAATATTTAAAACATTTTAAGATTTCTCTAAAAAGGTATTTATTTATGTTAAAAGTGTATACCCACAAACTCAGCATTCAACACTACATGTACTTTTTTGCTTCAAAATTGATTTTTTTTTTTTTTTTTTTGTTGTTGTTTGTTTTGTTATAATTTAAATGACTTTTTCTTGTAATTCTTTCCTTTCTACTTTTAAAAAGCGCATAGGGACATGCTATCCTGTAATGTGTTATGCGCTATAAAAGATCTGAGTATTATTATTATTATTATTACATCTTCTTACCTGGTATCTTAGGCAGGAATACTTCATATTTCAGAGGAGTCTTTGGAGGAACCTTGATAAAAGTATGAAGATTGTAGAATCTGTGAACAAATAACAAATGAATACTGTAAGACCATGTACTCTGCCAGAAGAAAAAAGAAACCTCAGAGCTATTCAACAGCTCTGACTAACTAAACAAACTTATAAACAAACAAAATGGTTGTAAAAAAACTGGAAACCTTAGAATAGGACCTGTAAAATGACTAAAATTGTTACACAAAAGAATATATGGATCACATAGTAAAGAACCCGTTTCACATCTTTGGATTTGATCGCCAGACATTAAATTAGCGTCGTTCGTGCACTGACTGTTGTGCAGGTACAACACTAACACCGAACTGGAAATCAACATTATCCCTAGGGGCTAGTGTTAGTAAATAGGACATTTGCACATAAAATATTAACACCAGCCACAAAGATCGGTCCAGCAGACGACAATTTTGCAAAATTGATAACACTAGTTACCGGAAGTTGACGATATTCAGAGGTCAATGCCTTTAATAACACCAGCTGATTTCCATTTCGGTGATTAGGGCTAGTGTTAGTGTTTATTAATCACTAACACCAGCCATAAACACCCAACTTGAAGTCACTCAATGTACACACATTACATGTGCAATTCCACTGTTTCCACAAACTCTAACTGGGTAGTTTCCAAATAGTTAATATAGTAAACATGTGATAGGGAAGCTTGTGATAACAGATTTTTCTCCTCATGAGAGCAATTAAGAATAACATTTCTTTAGACAGGAATTTTATGTAGTTACAGCTGTAGGAAAGAAGTTTTATCTGATGATGGGTGATCGAATCGTGTACAGGTATGCATATTGTTACATGTTGAAGCGCAAAGCAAATTTTGATTTAATAGGTACAGTGTGTACATGTATATCAAGCTGTTTTAAAGGTACAATGTCCCTTTTGCAGCCAACCTCAAATGCTGTAGAACTTTGCAGGAATTATGAATATGTCATGTATGTCCTATCTGTGAAATTTAAACGTTAGCAGTGTCCTCATATTCAAATTATGCAAGGAAACCCGTTTACTTGCTAGACTTCACTGTCAGACACTATTGAGTGACTGACTGGCTTTTTTTTCTTCTTTGGTAATAACAAACATGAAAAGAGTTGTAAAGAGTACATGAGCATTTGTCTACATCAATAACCCACTTCTTGTGATGGCCAAGATTAAACTGACTGAATCTTTGCGCAGCATAAAACGTATGACCATTCGGTACAATTGTCTGAAAATCAAGACTATTACTTTTGGGCTCTATAGCCCTAAAGTCGATTTGACAACTAATAGTGGTTATTTTCCCACTTGAAGACATTTTCAAGCCCCACCTTTTTTAGGGAAGTTCTGAATTAGTATTATCTTTCAAATGCAGTTGGAATTTCATTTTTTCATTTTTTTGGCCTGCAAATGGGACATAGTACCTTTAAAAGAAAGCACTCACTACATTTTTAAAGAAAAATATAGTTTAAATGAATTAGATAATAACTGCTGCATCGTCCTCCACTATACATACATGTACATGTACATGTACAAGTATGTACTGTACATGAACGTCTGACAGTACATGTATCCTGTGTAAATTAGGAATCGGTGTTGACATAATATCAACATGAAGTTTCACATTATTAATTGAATTTTATTTATTATTATGTGGATTGTAGTAGGCATGTATAGACACAGTCCAACCCTTCCTGCATGTACATGTACTCCCACCCCACAACAAAACTTTGAAATTGACAGTAATTTCATGAATTCATTTGTGTATAGTATCATGTGAATGAAATCTGCTTGCCTTTCAAGCACTAGTATGAGTCATTGCCTTGATTTAGAAAGAGTTGATAATGCCTTAGTCATGTGCAATGTTTTGAACAAGAGCAAAATAACACTGAGTTCATATAGGAAATCTATTTATTCAGATGGTCAAATTTCAGCCAATACTTAGCAAATTCAATTGGTTTTCGACATTTGGACATTATTTTTTATGCTATTTTGGAAAATTAAGTTCAAATTGAGAAATTCAACAACAAATATTTTGATGATGTTACACTTCACCACTCTATAGACGGGTTCAGCAGTACATTTTATCTCTCCCCCACAGGAAAGAACTGATCAATACAATACAGATTTGGTTTGAACTAAAAATAGAATCCATCATGGATGAATCATGAACTTACCCTCTTTGAAAAAGATCGATGTTATGGAAGCGCTCCAACTCGACCGCAAACTCTATGGTGGCTTGTAAGTCCAACATGATGGCTATGCATGGACTCGTACACACATCAAGCTCAAGCCAAGGCCTAATTTACACAATGTGTATTTCCCAGCAAGACGTCATTCCTAGTCATTAGAAATCAACATAATGCATACATGTATAATTATTTTTGAATAATGTAAATCTTCAAAATAAAATGACATACAATGTAGACTAGGTCTAGTGTCTAATGTGCATGTACATACACAGTGTAGTCTACATTGTCAGTGAATTTTACAACGGATCATTTTTTGCAATGCACTTTCTTTAAAAAACAAATAGTCTAGATCTACATCTCTCACTTAAACTCGAAGCCACTCGAGCGGATCAGCAAATGAGAGCGCGTAAACTCACTGTACAGCGCTCAATGCGCAAAGTCCTTCGTGATATGAATCCGCTAAGCCTAACGCAGTCAGGGGGGGGGCTGGTTCAAGAATGAGGATCGTCCGCATACATGTAAACAAGGCCTCACCAACACGCAGATCGGAAATATGAAACATCTGCGAAAATGCGAACGATCCTTATTTTTGCGGACCTGTCTCTCCGCGTTTTTACAAAGACGATCATCATTTAATTTTTATGCGGACGATCCTTATTCTTGGACCAGCGCCCCTACTGAAAAATAAAATGACATTTTTAGTCCAATCCAAAGTTTGCAAGTTTGGTGGCACGATCGTGCCACTCAAGTTTACAGAGCAGACCCTATCGTCAGCTTCTGTCTCCAAAGAGAGGAGCCGACCCAATCAAAATAAGATTAAGAGGCTAACGAACGAAAGAGACTGAAATTTTCGGTCTAGGGGCCAGGGCAGCTGGGCTCCATATACTGTATCAGTGTATAGGTCTAGCCTACGGGGCCCGCTCCCGGAAGGTTCGGTGTCTGATCTGAGCGCTTGAGCAGCGCTGAGCAGAATATTCTCTTGCAGAGCAGTAAACTGCTCGGCATTCGATCAAGCCTAACTTTTACTAGTAAATCTGCTTTATACTCACCGGATAATATTTCACACAAAATAACGACTTCCCATACAAGTGATTGGATACATTTGATAATGAGACGACTGCTAATTCTCCTCACAGATCAACATCTCAAGAAAATACTGTCAAAACAACAAAATTTAACAGGAGCTAGCCTGAGACGGAGAGCGAAAGCAAAACAGCAAAGTAATATGTAAATGCTTTGCTGCCATCTACGGTCCCTCATATCTGAATTGCCAAGTGGCGGATTGATTTTTTATTTGATATGTTTTTTTGTTTGTTTAGAGACAAAATAAATTATGTGTAGGGAAAAGGGAAGTGAGATACATATCATGGTGCGGGGCTTTATAACTCTGCAAATATTTATCGTATCCTTATGGAATGTAACACAGCCAAACCCCGGAAGGCGTTATTTTCTTCTGCGGCACAGATTGGGGCTTTTTTTTAAGGGGGGTCTTGACTCTTGATTTAACCCTAACCCTAACCCTAAACTTTCCCATAGGCTCAACACGCACCTAACCCCAATCTGTGCCGCCGAAAAAAATAACGCCCCCGGGAGCCAAACATGTCAAGGGCAACTGAGAAAGTGGCCACTATAATGGTGGCCTTTCTAAACAGGTTCTTCATCTCTGAGGGAGACGAAATGCATGGGTATAGGCCCACTATAGACAGGTTGCCTTGATTGATTGATTTTCATTCGCCAAGCTTCCAACATACAACAATATACAAGAATAACAGATCAAAATTACTAGTCAGCGGCTTGGAACAGGATAGCCCACGAAAGCTCGAGAGCTTATTTCCAGTGGAGACATAAATGTACAACAATAACAGGAACATGAATAAGTTAAAATAGAAATATTTAGATAAAAAAATTAAACTTATGATATATAGAAATAATCTAAAAATTTCTTGACATAAAAAAGTGTCCTCTTACCGAGCCCCCCCCGCACCCCCCCCCCCCCGCTTATTCATTCGCTGGCTGAGTCGTTGCGATTTTTTTGGGACCTAACAAAAATGTGCTCTTACCCCAACACCCCCCCCCCTCCCCTGGTTCTGCCCCTGGTGCCCCTTCACAAGCATATGGTAAGTGCCCCCTTTTATGTACCACTAATTTAAAACAACTAAGTTCAATTTTTTTCTCGAATTTTCTGAAAGCCCGCTCCTTTTTATAGTTGATGTAATTATGTAGGCTTGTCTTGTTCAAGTCTTTCGTTCTTTCAGTTAGTGCTTAAAAACCGATCAGGATTGTTTTTGTTTTTTAGTTCCCCCCCCCCCCCTTTATAAGATCTAATTGGTGCGCAATGTGACCTCACAAATCTTAAACTTTTGCTCGCTCGCTCGCTCGCATAATAAATGTTCCAAACATCACCCCCACAACTGCAAAATATGACGTTTAAGCAGTAGCTTGGACCATGAGAGAGAATCAATCACAATGTAGTGATACCATTGTCTAAACTTTTGCTTAAAGGTTACCCTTTGTTTCCTTTTTGTCCAGAAAGTGCCTTTTTGTTTTGGTGTCTGGGCCCCCAGCTTTGGAATACGCTCCGCCGCCCCTGTAAGACACCCACCCTACCATTTTAGTTAAAATAACGAGGTCTTCAACGAGAAGAAGTAGGCCACGTACCCCGGTCGAGTTATCTTGGACCCCCCCCCCCCCACCACCCACGTGCCCCCACCAGTAGGCCTACGCCAGTGTGCATACACAATTTCACAATATTAAGACATAACACCGAGTCCACCACAAAATAAACAAAAATGTTGATATTTTCTTAGGCATATGGTATGTGCATTTATATATTTTGAACATGCAACCAAAAGAGGGATATTTGTACAATATTCGATGAGTTGAAAGGGAAAAATAGTGTCATTTTGGATCCAGTGATATGATACTATATACACAAAACATTCGCCCACAGTTCTTCGGCAGTTTCTGCAGTTTTTATATATACTGTATACATATTTCTGATATGTGTGTGTGCCATTATTAATATGGCAGATTATATATTCATGTGTTTAACTTTTTGTTAGCCGAGAGAGTTTACAAAAGAAAATGAACAAAGAAAATGCAAATGTCCTGATAATGAAGCCTAATTTATTGACAAACATGTTTGCTGATTAACGAATTTGAATAACCACTGAGGTACCGTAGCCGGCATTAGAGATGAATTTGAATGCTCTTAGTATCTGTTAACATTTGAATGACCCGATTTAACATTGCATGGATAGTGAATTTGAATGACGGATTTTGAATAATCAATTTTAAATTTCATTTAATTTATTTCCCCAGATTCATTATAAGATAATATAAATCACAATAAAATATATTAAAAGCGTTAAAACAAAAGACGAACCTGCAGAGGGGGTGATAAAACAAACCACAAAGATTTATCGGGGATAATCCCTTGCTTAAACTACAAATAAAAATACAATTTTTTAAAAATAAATTAAACAATAAACACATACAAAAAAGTGAAAAAACATATATATTATATTAAAAATACAAGTTACATATGTATCCAATCTTCATGTAAACATGACGTTTGCTTTTATTCGATCAGTTTGGCACCCACACTTTTCCGGTAATGTTTAATTTTCTTCCCCAAAAGCGGAATCTCATAGCTTAAAAATAAAATTAAACACACCATCGGCACAGAATAGGTAATGACTTCCTGTGTCATAACATATTAAAAGGAAACATGCGATATCCTGGCTCCACAAACCTCCAAATGATTTTCTTTTAAAGCAACAAGGAATTAATAAAACAAATTGTTTCTCGGAACAAGTACGTACATTCTCATGTGAAATAGAAAGGGTTTACATTGTTCATATTCCCTGGTGAATATTATCTTACCAGTGACAGGAGCTAGAGGGGAAGGGATTTTTTTTTTTTTGGGGGGGGCGGTAACTAGGGGAGCTGAGGGTATAAGACCCTGAGAGCAGAACTGACGTCCGAAAATTCCAGGTCAAGCGAAAACAGAACAAACCAAAACCAAAATCAACCAAACAAAATGTGACAATTAAAACAAATAACAACACAAAAATCAAACCAACAAACAGTGAAATATCGTGTCTAAATTATTATTTTTGTTTTTGTTGGGGGGGGGGGGAGGGAGGGGAGCTGTGTAGCGCCTTGTAAACAAAAAAACAGCCTAGTCTCAGTGTACAGACATTGTTACATACAGCGACTGGCCAGGCTTTTTGTCTGCAAACTATCAGGACATCCTAGTAAAAGTAGGCCTGCAACAAAGATACCTGTAGTAGACTTTGTTTGCGAAATCATGTTTGGGGACTTTCCCCATATTTTCACAAAGTAGGCCTAGGCCGAACACCTGGTGGATGTTATTTCCTGTTATTTTGAACTCTCATGATCTTTCTTTTCTCATCCAGAAGCAGAGTCACCTCAGAAGATATAAGAATCAACAGAGTCTACAAAAGTCCCAGAGAACTATTTAAAAGGTATATACATAAAACGAGAGAGAGGGGGGGGGGGGGGGGAGGGGGGGGGAAGGGACAGGGAAGAGGGAGGGACAGTGAGAGAGGGAGAGTGAGAGAGAGAGAGAGAGAGAGAGAGAGAGAGAGAAATTGAAAAATCACACCCCCCCCCTTGAGCGCCAGTGGAGGGGGCCAATCTCCAAAAAAGGTTAAAATTTACACGTTTTTCTCCCCTGGGGGGGGGGGGCCGAGCCCGCCGCCCCCCCTGGATCCGCCATTGGCATACCCTTTTTGGGGGAGATGGGCCCCCTCCCCTGGCGCTCAAGGGGGTGGGGGTGCGATTTTACAATTTTCAAGGGCCAAAAACAAATTAAGTGCTCACTACCCCCCCCCCCCCCTCATTGAGCGAATTATCGGCCGGCTGTTTCGCCGCTACATATTTTCTCACGAATTGGGCCCCCTCCCCTGCCGCCGGCTGGACCCGCCCCTGAATGTCAATGACATTTTCTTGACATGTGCCACATGCATAATTAGTTTCCCCCTTTCTCTTTCTTTGTCTTTCTCTCTCTCTCTCTCTCTCTCTCTCTTTTCTTTCTATTTTTTAGTGCCTGAGGTGGCCCCTGGACCCCATCCGTAAAGATAGCTAGAAATTGTTCCCACAACAACATCGTTTAAGCGTTGAGGTTGTGTTATTTTCTAAGTTGATTGGACATGCGACACGGAAACAGGCCAGGCAGTGGAAAACTAGTGATTGTCTCGTCGAAGAATATTGATATAGGGCATATTCTGAATTCAGTGGCATAACACATGGCATAACATACTACTTTCGATCGAAATGGCTCCGCATCAATCAAAGGTGGTTCTCTGTATTGCAGTATACGTTCTTGTGATGGTTTTATTCGCAGATAATGTGAAAAGTGAAATTATTGTAGCCAATGCTGGAGAGAATATAACTTTGCGTTGCAATACGACATACACGAGCAAACTGTATTGGGTTAAAGAAAATCGGGATTACATTGCGACCGTTGATGAGGTTTATCCTAAAGGAGTGTTATTTGATAATATTCCTTTTACGCAGTCGTATGAAACGGAATTATCTTCTGGACTATTTAAATTGTACATCTATGATGCTGGAGAAGAATCGGCAATATATACATGTCAGCATGGCCATAATAATCTTCAGAAATACGACGTCCGTGTAATCGGATGTTCGACTTGCTTTGTAAACCCATCATCGTCGCACGTTTTGGAACAACCAAAAATGAATGTAAATTGCCTACTTAACAATTTTCAAACAGCCGAACAAATGAGACAACATATTAGAATTAACAGGAACAGAACGAGTACAGCCATCATCGAAGGTAGTATATTAACCTTTAATATTTCAATTACCATGATGTATGGTACAATCCTAGTTGAGTTTAATCCGTTTAATGATACTCTGTCGAACATAACATGTATCGTACCAGCTCAGCTAACAACACCACAAAGTTATACTTCGGTTAAACTTTCTCCAAGTACCTCACTGATAACAACATCAGCAACGTCATCATCAACAACATCAGTAAAAGCATCCGCAACAAAGTCAGAAACATCACCAGAGACAACATCAGCAGCGATCACAACAACAGGAACAAAACCATATGACGCGACGCTAAAGTCATCTTCGTCACCGATTATGGACACTTCTTATTTGCCTTCTGGAACTACAACGTCACCAAGTACCCCAT